ACTAGCACATTCAAAGGAGAAAGGAGTCATGCAAGCATTAATTCATGTGACCACTTCAACTCTCAAATTAGAATAATTTTCACTCCTATGAATATTAAAATTAACAGTAAGTTTTAAATTTACAAAAATTAATGATATTACCTATAGCAAACCCATAATAAGATACGTAAGGCGATATTTTTATATACAAATTGAGAGTTCTTATGATAAATTTTGGTTTGAAAATGTTTGAGAGGACAAAACAAAATGTATACTACTTAAACCAGCGTGCATTGTCAAATTCTAATCAAAATAGCGACATGGACATATACTTTGCAGACGATAAATAGTCTTCTGCGCATTCACCTTGCGCGTAAATGACATTAAGTACCTCCTTTCTCTGCTAGTGACGCTCCTAACAAGTCATCGTCGACCCAAGCGCTCAACGTTGAACAAAATCTTACACGACGCGATAAAAAATGTCTAAACAGCGCGATGCTTCCGTACAATGGATGCCAATCACTAATTCCATTCAAACGAAATGATTGGAGAAAATATATTCCACGGTTCTCATAAGATTTCGTAGCTACTCAAAGTACACTTCGATCCTCGTCATCCGCCAGTCGTTCCCGTTAAATTTTTTCGAGAAAACCGTTCCGATCGACGACGATTTCGAGACATTTCACAGAGATCGAGCACGATCGATACCCCGTTCGGCGGGTCATCGTCGAGATTCGATTCCGTTCGACCGCCTTTTCGTACCCTCGAATAGCTCGGTGTCGCTCGCCAGCCAAAAATAATAATCGAAATCGAAGCGACCGTGGTTGAAACCCTTAACGTCAAAGTAGATCAGGATCGCCCGAAAGAATGCGAAGAACCTTCTAAATATATATGTATAAATAAATATAGATATAAATATATTAAATATACACGATAAATGTTTATATGTCCCGTTAACGAGAAAGTCGAAGACGAAGGAGGAGGGGAACGATGGATACGCGTCCGGTGCTCGGAGCTCGAGAGACTAATGTTTCGTTTCCAGATGATGCACGAAAGGTGGCGGCGTTCGAAACGAAACGAAACGGACGAAAACAATTTCCCCCGTCTGCTCCGTGCCGGTCGAAAACGATACGACGAAATCGATCTAGTTAGAGCAAGGATAACGTACACAACAGTACAAGATAGACAAGAAACAAAAAAAAAAACGCAAAAAATGAGATGTGTTTGTAAGATATCGACTAAGTCCTGAGAAGTTTCACTTTAAAAATAATAGTACGACAAAGCCAATGTAAATGTATGAGAGGTCTATTTGTGCCCCCAGCCCTCAGAATGTTCCATCCTCCCCCTACGAAACCCTCGCCCCACCAGACACAGAATCCTCGCCATCCTTTTCCTCCCCTCTGTACGACGAGTGTAAAGAAAAAAAAAAAATATCATGTAAAATTAACACACACACACACACAAACACACACCGATTAATATAAATATATAAATATATTATATAAATATATGTGTGTATACATGTGTGTGTGCGTGTATTTATATATGTATACATATCCTGCGCGTGTGTATACACATATATGTACATTCTAACAAAAAATGATTGATTGTGAGTCATTTAAATAATTGTTATATGTATTTTCTATATATTATGACAACTAATACAATGATATATATATTGAGATGATATTACGGTACTATTAACTAAGTGTAGTTAAAATTAGGCGAGCGAGGGCTCGCGTTTACGAAGAAAGAGATAGGAAAACGTTGGATCGCTCTAGTCCAATATTTCTATATTATCTCACCGAAGACGGAGAAGCAAAAAGACGTGCGGAGATGTAAAAACAAATAAACAAACAAAACAAAAAAAGGATGAACGAGCCACTCGAAACGAGTTTCTCGGGTATCTGTGGCGGGCAGGTGAAACTTTTTTTCTTCGCGGGAAAACTAACAGAGCGAACTAACAAGGGAAAAGCGCGACAGTTGCCCGGGCGTCGTTTCGAGCGCGCTCGTCGCGTATTGCAAATGAACAAACAAACAAACAAAAAAATGAAAAAAAAAAAGAATAAGTAACTCTGAGTGAAGAAATCAATGTGGAATTTGCAACAAAAAAAAATGTATTTTCTCACTCCCCACTGCGAGGTGTATGTTCATCGCTGCATCTTATTTGGAACGAAAAAAAAAACCTAAATATTATATTATTATATAAAATTACTGTATAATTGTAACGAAAATTGTTTTTCAAACGATGTGGTATTTTTATTGTAGATATTATTATATAACGAATAAAATCATGATTCATTGTAACCCGTTGAACGTTCACTCGATTCAAATATCAATCTTGAGGAATATGTATCATTTTGAACTTTTATTTAATTAGTAACGATACGATGAACAGTGGATAAACGTTTTGTTTATTTGCGTTGATAAAAGAAAACTTACACGAAAGTGTTTGGATTCGTATTGGTCATTTTATATTTTAATATGGCAATTGAATCAAAAAAAAAAAATTCACCAATTTAAAATTAATCACTAAACGATCTCGAGATTCCGATTGTACTACCATAATCACACACGATCCACCAACACAGTTAATTAAATTACATTAAAACACTCGTTGAACCAAATAAACAAATTCACTTCTGACGATATTCAACAGCGTTATATTTAATTTTATTTTCCTTTCATAAAATATTCTCTTCTTATATACATTCATATATGTACTTCTAATCCTATTTACTTTCTATTACTTTTGAACTAATTTTTCCTAAACACACGGACGCCCACTTCGCCATAATTTAAAACAAAATCACACCGAATTTACATTTTATTTATATTCTCCACTTTAAAGCTCGTAATTTACATTTTTCATAGACAACCAACGAAGAGAAAAATATTCACCCTACAACGGCCCTCTCGCACGTTGGTTCCTGAATAAATGACATGGAAATATTTAATCCAGCACGCATCGAAACGGAAAATACTGCCGAGCGTATTCACAACCGTAAAATAAATATTAATTATCCGTAGAAATGTAAACGTAACAGATTATTTACAAACACTCACTCAGTCGCAGAGGAAATAATAAATACATCCACACAGCCCAAAGTATTCGTCTGGAACGTTTCAAAGATATTCAATCAGCACTCCACTTGCTCGGAATATTCGCAGGAATTGTTAATCGTGTTAAATATGAGACCAGCTTGACAGTAGAAGCCCGCGGGTATGGCACCAGCGCCTTGACAAATGTAAAATTTTCTACAATTAAACGGATCCCGGTAATATCCTTCGTGGATGCAGACGGGCACAACAGGAGCTGCTGGTTCCGTTGGGAAAGAATGTATCGCTGGATCTTGAGGTGGCTTCACTTCCATACGTGACAATGCGTTCATATCTATTCCGTACACTTCTACGTAGTTGTCTAGTCTGTCCGCCGATGACAAACCGCACAGCGTGTAAATTGCCAAGATGTACACGAAGAATCGCATCTGAAACAACGTAATGACCACATATAAATTTAAAATAAACGAAACATTTAAAACACTTCTGTATTACTTCAATTATCGGTTCAATTATTCAATTTTTTGTTTCGCATCTTACTTAGATAGTGACTTCGTTTAAATAATCGTTTATACCGAATAAACGGAAATCAAGAGGAAGATTTCAGTTTTAAATGAATTAAAATAAACCAGTATTTAAATCGCACATCATAAAATAAACCTTACTACACCACGCTACCTAATAAATAACACTTATTTACGACTGACGTATATTTAAACAAACGTGCAACAAACGTTGTTATAATATGACACATATACAGTCCAATAATTTGTATAACAGAAAAAACTTCAGCTTAAAAATTCAATAATAGAAGAATATCTAAATTGCCCTCGTTTAATTTATTCAAGAACTGAAACGATTCTCATTCATATCGTCCAATGCAGGTAAATGCATCCTTAAATGCAGCAAGTACTCACTTTCGAAGAAGTCAGAAAATTTGAATGGTATCAATGAGGTCTCCTCTCGTTCGATTATAATTCCCGTACAACGGTATCAGTTGCGTTTTACTAACTGGCTATTGCTGTGACTGATATCAGACTTATATATGCGACATATACATATGTACGTTCGATGAAATCATTACGCAGATTTTTCGTCTATCGCTCTGATAGACGAACACATAGTAGCTTACATCGACGCGCAACGATACGGGGAAATGTTTAATATTTAGATGACGCTACGGCGAATCAGATTTTTTCTTCGACATCGGGAGATAATTCCAGAAATTGTAACGTTGACCATGACATCACTTTCGCGTATCTAGAACAAGATGAAGTTCCGTCTAATTCAATGATCGTGAACTCTTATCTAGCAAGCACTGGAATGTGTATCTTTCAAATGAGAAAACACAGCTTTTCGTCTTCGCGAATTTCTATGGATACAATTACGAAGATTGAATCAGAATTACAAAGAGTGGAATCAATAGAGTCTAATAATTATATGTTAAATCAATAGAATTTTATCATGAAAACTGTTCAATAAAAATAGGCTAAAAAGCTTTTATATTCTATTAAATATAACACATCAATGTTTGTATTACAAATCTCAATTCTCTAATAGAATTCTGTTATCTATCATACCAGCTGCTCTTAAGAAACTCTAAACTTTGATATTTCCTAGCTGTGAATCACAAATGCCTTTATTAATTCATTTTTACTACTTCCAGAGTTGAAGATCACACAAACATGCCGTGTGAAGTACTGTATAAACAAATGACGCGTTTCTTGGAACTTTACGATACAAGTGATCTACGAATCGATCACTACGGGTCGGAAAATATTTTGTTAAATATTTCTCTGAATTGTTTTTAATGTGCGAGACTCGCGATACGAAATTCGAGTCGAACATGAAAAGAACGTGTCAGGCACGTCGTATATCGTAAAACAAATAAAATGTATCGTAATAAAAAAATATCGTAAAATAAATTGTGGAGTAAGGGGTAAAAATAAAGGTGGTGTTACTTTTTTTTTTTATAAATTTGGTTTTTATTATATAATTTGATATTTCTATACATTATGTAAATTGCGATATATCCGGAAACTGTGCAACGTAAGAATATTTTCTTTCCGGCTCGATAGTTTTTGTCTTGTTTGCTTTAAGAGGCAAAACGTTCATTATGCTTGTAGTTAACTCTACAGGCCTCAAGGATCCAAAGAAATCTGTAACTGGTACCCTATCGGGATCTCTTCTGAATAAATCCTTCCTTACTCCTACTGTTGATAGGCAATAATGCTTGGGGCATACTTTGAGCTAAACACAGAATACTTATTAGCATAATAAACTTCATTTAAAATTAGGACCTTGTTTTAGAAACTTACAAATTCTCCTAAAGTTTTAGTACTAGAAGGCTCTACGTTTTCTAAAAAGTCCAACGCATAATACGTATACCGATCTATAATGTAAACACCAATGGCAGGATCCAAGTGATGCTAACAAGAAAAAGAAGTAACGTTTACATCACTTAATCAAAATCTGTAAATCATGCAACTAGGCTCGTTACTCACAGAAAGTGAATCTTCCCCCACTAGACTAGAAGCAACTGCTAAAATGTTTGGAGAGTAAAACTTTTGATACATAGAACTCGCTTGGCATGTGTCCACTATAAACAAAATCTCATGATATCTTCGCTTTTGCCACATTTGTTCAAGCGCATCCCCAAGTTCTTGACTAGTAATTTCTTCTGAATCTTGGAACTTTAGAAATCCATTTCCACCATGGCCAGTAAGATAAATCAAAATATTAGACCCTTCGTCTGTTAACAATTTCTTAGATCTCGGTGTTTCCGGTGTTAACCTTCCAGTTAATAACCTCACAAAGTTTTCTACAGTGACTTCATAGCCTCTATAATCTACTTCTACGTCGTCTCCATAAACATTAATATGTTGTTTGATGTTATTGAACACAGTAGCTGGCCTAGGATTTCTTGGATTGCATGCCATGTCGTCTGCTATCATGAGAATAATCTGAGAGTCTGGTATTCCCAAACGTTTAACACTACGATAAATCGATAATACATTTGCCACGTGCCGATAATTAAACCAAAAACGCGAGGTATCAACTAATACCGCCCAGTTATTCGAATGACCAGTCTTTGCAAAATTTTCTGGCGCCTGCAAAGGTTAGGTTTCAGTAATCCACGATTAAACTCTTGGAGAATCTTACAAAACCGGTAATACAAACCTCCCAAGCATGGTTAATTTGGAAAACACACAGAATAATGAAAAGTTTTAAATACATTTCAATATATATTTATGTCTTACATGAACCCGTGTGAAGTGTATTACTTTCTCGCCACATTCGATAACAATATACAGAAACGAAACTTGTATACTTTAAATAAATCCTTTATCATTTTTTCTGAACCTTTTCCTTCATCACTGAACACAGAATTGTATATTGTCACGAAATTCTTGAATACTGTTTACAAACCGTATTAACGGACATAACCTCTACAACGTGCATGCAGTGCAGTCGTAGAATATCCACTAGTGTCCGATAGATGTCGCTGCAAACGAGTCGATATGTGCTGCCACCATATTGTCGAGCTGGAAACATTTAGAGAACAGCAGCGTTCGAATACGTGTGGAAGAGCGTCGTCAAAGATTTAAACAATTTAATTTGATTTTTGTAAAGTGTTGTGTTATTCTCTGACGAACAAGATGTTGAGAAACGATACGAGAACCACGGAAGCGATACAATGATCCCATCATATACTGAATCAATCACGTAAGTTGTCTTCAAGTTATAAGAGATTACTGCCGTAGGTGCGAACCTCCAACAATTGATATGTTAATACAAATGGATGATTAGATTCCTTTACATTGAGAATTATGGTTTTATCTGGGTTTCAACATGGAAGATTGGATTACTATATCGATAATACATTATCTATGCATGATAGTAATTCAGAGCACGAGTCAAGAATAAGGGAATTAATCTTATTCTAACAATAATCTTTCGCATCGAGAGCAATAAATTTGGCGCTAAAAATGAATCCGCCATGACAGTGAGAATAATTCTATTTCTCATTTCATCTTTGCGAAAGCGTCGTCGCGGAATTGGAGAGATTTTGTTGACGAAAATGAGTTCGAATCTAATCTTCCACGGACTAAGTTATTAATTTTATGTTATTCTAACCATTTATAAACAAATCAGGATCCGAAAATAGTCCGAATTTAGTCATAATGGACTCATTTTCATCGGACAGTCACCGTGTTACTAGTAATACTTTTCCGAGGATATGTTTAGTAATCTTGAATTTTAATTGTTACTATTAGACTGTGGATCTTTATGCAAAATAAAATCTTGGCAAATGTACTTACAAAAATTGAACCTAAATAGGAATTTCTTTTACTCTACAAATATTATAATATGAACTTTACTCTACAAATATTATAATATGAACTTTACTTTACAAATATTATAATATGAACTTTACTCCCAATATTTTGTATATTCTTGCATACTGTGTGCATTTTGTAGTATCTTGCACATTCAAATTCCCTTTAAATGCATAAAAATCCGCAGTTTAGTTATTATCAATTGTTCTATAGCTCCCTTGTGATGATTAAGGGGGCATTTCACTGTGAACGCACAAAAAAAGTATATTTTCAATAATTTTTTTCTCAGGAACTATTGCATAAAATTGAATAAATATTTTTCCCCCTTCAAGGTATGATTAAGGAAAGTAAATAAAAAATTTTTTTTCGGTAAAGAATATTTCGTCATTTATTTACAAAATAATATGCAATTGCAAAAAAAAAAGGTTATCCGCTGGCGCAGGTGATTTTGGCTCTCCTGGTAATCTGAAACAGAAAATCGAAAAAGTTTATTAAACTATGTCGTCACACCTATCATCGGAACCTCCACTTATTTATTTCATCGAAAATAAACAAAATGGCAGCGTTTCGTGTGAAAGAGAGAGAGAAAAAAACACTTTTTTTGTACCGTAAATCAGGTGAAATTGTAAGTAAAAATCAAAATATCAACTACTTGAAGGTTCCGACGATAGGTGTGACGACATAGTTTAATAAACTTTTTCGATTTTCTGTTTCAGATTACCAGGAGAGCCAAAATCACCTGTGCAGCGGATAACCTTTTTTTTGCACTTGCATATTATTTTGTAAATAAATAACGAAATATTTTGTACCAAAAAAAAATTTTTTTATTTACTTTCCTTAATCATACCTTTAAGGGGGAAAAACATTCATTCAATTTTATGCAATAGTTCCTGAGAAAAAAATGATTGAATATATGCTTTTTTTTGTGCGTTCACAGTGACATGCCCCCTTAAAGATAATATAGTGGAGAGTACTATTCCTCTTTTTATATAAAGAGAAAAATCCGTTCTTATGTCGAGGTATCGTATTCTTCGCGAACGAGGAGGGGAATAGATAAATAATCATGTCGACGATTGATTGCCACGTTATAATAATTTATTTAAACATTTATACACCTATGATGTTCCACAGTCTTGAAAGTAGGTTGCTACTGATATATATGTATATGTATGTATATACATCCACATACACACATACAGACACATATGTATATATACATACAACAAGACACGCGTCTTGCGAATACATATAATATGTATACATATAAATTTATTCATTTATTTATAAGTTAATCCATCTCGTTACCGCCTAGATAAAGCATTCTTGAAACTTAGAAATTAATTAAAGATTATAGGCTATCCTGTTTTTGCGATCAATTTAATTGAACGTTCTCTCGCAGAAACGGCGTCCCGACTGTGTTACCCTTTACAATGATTCGCGTGTCAATTTATTTCAACGTAGGTACACCGACGTGCACGGATCCTATCTCTTATGTTAAACGTTCTGGCCCGATCTATCCTACGTTTCTCGATCCTCTTTGCCTCCCGTCGATCGATAACTTAACCTTACGGTTCCTTGGAAGCTAACGAGACACTTAATTTACAAGGGGTTCCTTTTTTTCTCCTATCGCGTTACACATCGGGCTGTCGCTGGAAATGTACGAACGTTTACACTAATCGTGCAGAATATCGAACAGAAACGGGGCAGGATTTTTTTCGAACAACAGATAACGAATAAGAACTCTTTATTCTCAACGATTATTCAGATCGATTAAAAGTTACTCAATTTATTTGTTTAGAGATTGGTTGGAGAGCTTGAATTGTATTTTTTATCGAGGAAATAATGCCAAAGATGTTTCTTTATTCGTTATTCGAGATCTTTATTTAGATAATAATCTTGCCCATCTCTGTAAACTTAGATAGAATTGAAACGGAAAGGATATCAGTATTTGTGTTTTAAAGAATTTCTGTTTCTTTTTTATTTTCTATGTTTTTCATATCTGTGTGTTGTTCTAAAATTGTGGAAAAATTACGAAAATAATTTGATATAAATTTTTTATATTTTGTTCTTTTTCATTCTTTTAATATAATACACAATTCCAATCACTTTACTTGTTTAGTTTCAGATACCATAATGTAGTAACAAAGATATCCTCAAATATATATTACGTTACCAAATTTAATTTATTATTTATTGCAAAATTTGATTTCATTCCACTTTCATATATTTTCTGAGGTGTAACTGATACCCTTTACACGTCCATACCTAATCAAATTTAACGTCCCAATTGCTTTGAATTTAAATTATATTTTTAATCAAAAGCCTTTGATATTTTGTTTTTTTTTTAAATTAAAGGAGCAAATGTTTTAATTTATATACACAATAATGTATTTCGTAATCAAACGATCGATGCATTCTCGTATTCATTGCACGAATGTAACGTCCGTTTAGGTATTTGCATAAATCATGTTTATCCTAATCAGCGCTCAGAGTTGATAGAAATAGAGAAAAGATTAGCGAAATGAGTATTACAATAAATTAACTGAGAGTACAGTCTTGATAAATACTAACGACGTTATAATTTAAACGAGGGGGACTTACTAAATAAATTAAGCAATAGTAACGAGTCAACTATAAAATTTCTTACAATGTTATCTAACTTAAAATGAAGTTCGAACGAAACATTACGTAATAATATTTAGAGAAAATAAATAATGTTTACATTGTGATGGATAAAAGGCAACGATAAAGATATAAAATTACAATATTCGAGGATCGTGCGCGCGCAGTATGAAAAATATAACAATTTAAGGTTACGTAAATTGTTTGTGAAGTAATTGTGTGATCGTTCTGAGACACTCTGTATTTTTTTTTAGCAGTATGTTTTTGCAATAAGCGATGTAATTTGTTTTACAACAAAATAGAAAGTAATTGTTTTTTAAACGATTAGGATATCATTTAAGTTTAAGTGGAAATTTTTATTTTTTATTTAATATGAACCATTGTCGTTCGTATTTTAAATCAGAAATTCCTAATATAAAATTATAAATTAAATCATTTCTGTCGCAACACGAATTACACCGCGTCCTGCAATTTAAATTTCTGATCACCATCAATATTTCACGGCTCCATAAATAATACTTGCCAAGTATGCAATAATAACCCAATTACTGTTGGTACAAATATAATCGTATTCAAATTGTGCACAGTGCACGACATACGCGCACGCGTAGAAATAGGGATAGTTAGAAAATGAGCACGACGATTTTAGCGAAAGATTCGAGTGCTTAATTTACACCAATAATTACAATTACTGGACCTACATATCATACGCGTAATATTATTATACGTGACTCTAATTGGCACTAATGTCATTAAATCACCGATCAGTCCTTTCGTTTTCTCTTTCCTTTATTGAACATCCCGATACGTGAATGAATATTTCCTCCAATTATCAATACATGGGGGTAATTATTTTCATACAAAAAAAAAGAGTATTAACTTCAAATAAAATCGGTCACCGTTTTATAAATTCAGAATTACTTAGGCAAGATACATAAAATGAAATGACGAAATTTGTTGACCACTCGATCAATGTTCACTCCAAAAAAATAAAAACTCGAAGCACAAGTAGATAAAATTGAAAGCCAGGAATGGATTTTCGCACGACTTCCACCGATTTCCCTCGTCTCTACTTCTCTTTCACCATTCTCCTCATCCCTGATAAAAGAGAACAAGAGCACGTACACAATTATCAGCTAGTTTTTCTTTATTGTCCCTCGTCGACACTACGCTTTCGTTTCTCCTCCACCCCCCACGTTCAATGAAAACATCCCTTAAAAACCTCTAAAAAAAATGCTCGGATTATACACCTTTGAATCGACATCGACGATTAAATTACGACAGATATCAATGCGCGACACGTGTAACATTTTTTTTTTTTTTTTTTTGGTTCGCAGTAACGTACTACTATTAATATCATAAAGCTACTATATAATAATTTATATTAAATTTATATATGTTATGTATAATACAGGAACTATATTATCGCATACAATTGCATTTCCATCTAAATGAATTTTTACCGTTTATAGTCGTCTAGCATTCCGTAGACACTGTCGAATGTCGTGTCGCGAATTCCTGTCCTCCTGTTTCTTTATTTTTTATTTTCTTCGTTCCTTTCTTTTTTTTTTTTTTTTGTATATAGTACGGCGATCATTGCGTTTTCGCAATTGTCCTATTTCGCGATACGACCGACTAGTTTCGATCGTAGTCGCTGTAATAGGTGATAAGAACGCGCGTGACAATGTAGCCATCGAAATATCGAATACTGGTCTGAACGGGTGCTGGAATAAATGAGTACGAATATAGCGCGGTTGATCGTTG